AGTATCTTCTGCAACCAATTATAAATGTCGTAAATGTAAATAATGTTTTGTAAGTGTTTCTATTGCTCCCACCTTACATAATCAGCATATGTGCGTGGAAGACTATTGACATAACCAGATGTCACAAGAGTTCAAGTATCAGTATCACGACAGACACTGATATTGGGCTGCAGATATTGATATCAGGATAGCAAACACTAATGTCAAGACAGAAGATACTGATATCAAGATGGAAGATATTGAGATTGAAACGGAAGGCACTTGTATAGAGTGTAAGTCTGTTAAAGCTTATAAATATATACAGAGTGCAGTATTTTGTTTCTGTGAACACGAAAAGGCTCCTAATTCTTATAAAAACTTATCAGAAGGTGTAAATAGAATATGCGGGTAGAAATATTTTGAATCAGTCACTTACTGGCTACATAAATGAAGAGATAGACTTTACAAGAGCATTTTTTTTGTATGAAATTAGATGAATGTGGTACAAAAAAATTAGTGACAGATTTAGAATCGACAATTTGACTTGTATAATGCTGAGTTGTACCCCCCTCTCCCCTAGATAATACTTTTTATAATTTTTAATAGATAATAGAAATTTGTACTTTGGTAGTTTGCAGAATATCATAAGGAACTGATATAACATTCATATTTTCAGGAGTAGTTTCAAATAGATTCTGTATTAAAATAGCAAATGCAGCCATAAGAATTGTTGTTATATGTTAAAATGGTCCTATTTTAGTTTTTGAACATGTTTGTTAGTGCAGTTGTCCTTTTTATAGATTCAAAGATATTTCAACAGGATTTACTATTTTATATTTAAGGTCTTATTAAAGATCATTGAGAGGTTAATTTTTATTTAAAATAGTATTAAAATGCCTTGTACTCATAGAAATTCTCACCACCTTCCACTTCGTTACTTGTATTGGAACTTTGTCTTTTGGTTGCAGCAAAATTCAGAGGCTTGAGCTGAGTTTGGTTTCCTGAAAAAATATATTTCTTCCCTTTGTCAAGAAATCTTGAGATTGCAACAGTCTCATCGGCATCTTGAAAGGAAACTTGAAAGTCTTTGTCAGGCTAGGTGCAGTTTTTCTCAAGAAGTGGCGTTGGAATAGGAAAGGATTAAGTTTAGATTGAAAATAGAGACTGGGCAAGAGTTGCTTTAACAAATGTGATCCTTGCTTTCAATTGATTCTGAAAGATATTTCTTCTTTTAAATTTGAATTTATCTTCTCTTTTCTTTTTAAATAGTTTTCTTGATTTATAGAAGGGAACATATTAGATACTAAGTTTACTTTTTAAGCCAATAGTAATATATGATGTGAATATTTTCTGAATCATTCATACTTTATCATGTTTTCTGCTTGCTTTTTCTTTTTTTTAGGTATGGTCAAGGGTTTAAGGATGCTTGTTTCAAGCAAGTTAAGAACTGGATTACTAAAGCATCTGCATTTATGTTGTATAACCTGAATATCGAATTTTTCAGTAGCTAAAGGATGCTCTATATATATGCTAGGTTCTTATACTAATCAGTCAAAGTATGGTTTCAAGAGAAAGAGATTAATTGAAGTAACAAAAATTTTTCCTTCTATTATTCTAAGTTTGAAGACATTATTTGGCAAGATATTATAGATATAGAAAGGTTTTTTTTATTTTGGCTTCAGCTTTTCTATAAAGTATTTATTTCTAATAGCATTATATATTAATACCTTATTTTTAATTTTCAATTTTTTATATCTTATTACTTTTTTGATCAAATCTTTATTTTTGTTTTTATTGTTTCTTATAAATATTTTTCTTGCTTGTTTTTGTTGCTGTGGAAGATCTTTTAATAAAGTATACAATCGGTTAAGAATTGTTAGTTGCAATATTTTATCTATATTTGTTATAAGCATTTTTGTGATTTTTGTTCATAAAATAAATAAAATAATATTATTTTTATTGAAAATTGTTTAATATTTTATAAGCAAAAGTATTAATGAAATATATTAATCCCAATCTTCTTTGCTTTTTATTAACTTTGTAAGAGATTTACATAAAGTTCTATTAAATTATTTAATTAATCCATTGATTTAAGAATAATATAGTATAGATAATAAATGTCTTATCTCAAATTGTTTTGTAATCCATCTATTATTTTATTTCGAAAGTGTATTTCTCTATCAGACAAGATTTGTCAATATTGGTTAACATTGGATTATTTGTATATAAAATAAAAGTTATTGTATTATCTTTATTATTATTATAATAATATAAATAATAGCAGTAATAGTTATTATTTTTTTAATTATCATAGATATAATATTATTTTTATTATTTCTCAAATTTGCATCTAACAAGTAAGGCATACACTAGTTGAAATTTGATCATTTGGCATGTCAAATTATTATTGAATTTTTAAATTTTTTATAATTAAATTTAAGCCAAATTTATATCGTTTAATGCCACTCGGCATAAAATCAAATGTAGATATTTATTAAATATTCATTAATAGTTCGACTATAACATTATAGCATTCAGCAATGTAAATACAAATATTTGATTAATAATTTAACCATAATTTAATATATTTTATGTTTGAATTTTTATATATATTAGTAATTAATTTCATTATTTAAAAATAAAAATAATTAATAAAATTTAACAATTATTCATAATTATAATTAACAAAAAGTTTATTAAAATATGATAATAAAATAATATAATTTGAATATAACAAAAAAATTGCTCATATAAATTAAGTTATTCATTATCTTCTGTTTCTTCTTCTTCTTTTTTTTATTATTACTTAATTGATTTTATTCTGGGTTACCTTTTTAGTGTCCTTTTTTTTCTCTTTTTTCAGTTGTTTTTTTCTTGCCGATTTTTGTATCTTCTACTGCTTTTACCTTAGCAACTGTCTCCTTGACCTCACACTAGTTGAAATTTGATCATTTGGCATATCAAATTATTGCCGAATTTTTAAATTTTTTATAATTAAATTTAAGCCAAATTTATGCCGTTTGGTGCTACTCGGCATAAAATCAAATATAGATATTCATTAAACATTCATTAATAATTCGACTATAACATTATAGTATTTAGTAATGTAAATACAAATATTTGATAGATAATTTAATCATAATTTAACATATTTTATGTTTGAATTTTCATATATATTAGCAATTAATTTCATTATTTAAAAATAAAATAATTA